TTATACACTGTATCACTGATTGCTACGGAAACTCCAATGCTCTAGAAAAATACAAAAAACAGTAAAAACAAACTTATTCTTCGTTGAAATCGGAGAGGCGAAATGATACAGCTCGCTGGTTGGTGAAAACCTTCGGGAAGCTAGTCAGCCAGCCAGCCAATGTGTCTTCTCTCGTTGAAAGCAGGAATAAGAATGGAGGCGTAGAATGTACGTAGAGTGTACGAAGCTGCCTAGGTAGCCAAAGAAATGCAAAGACATGGCATAGAAGTGCTGGGTATCTGCGAGAGCAAATGGAATGGATGCGGATTATCAAAGTTGTTAACTGTGAAGTCAGTAATCTACTCCGGTCTGGTCTCCCAGACGACAACCACAAGCACACTGAGGCAGCAGTCAGTGGCTATCATGATGTCACAAGTGGCAGCCAAAGCCCTAATGCAGTGGGGACCGGTTTCATACAGAACTATGACAGCAAGAGTCAACTCAAAAGGAAGGAAGGTAGGTTACAATTATCCATTACTACGCACCTACAAACGACGTGGAACAGGAGAGGAAGGAAAATGGACAACAATGTGAGGACGTTAACCAAACTGGAACAAAACAGCTGTCTAGTACTCTCTCCCTTTCTCTTTGGTTTTCCAACATATTGCTCTAATTGAAGTCATTTTACCATCAAACTTGAAATCCATCAAATCCCTGCAAAGTGACACATAAAACTTAATCAGATCCTCACTATTGACTGAAAACATCATGAAGCTGACTGAAGTTTTTTTAGGAATTCGTGACCACATCACACCTGTGGCGTCCACCAGATTGGATTTGAGGACAAATATTCACTGATGAATTTGGATAGTTGGAGGCAATCGGCTACAGGAAGCCTTGCCTGACCTAGGTTTCGAGCTAGTTGGCGCTCATCAGCAAGGTGTATCTGCAATCTTGAAGGAACTCATATCCCTTCTGAGATTCGAACCCGCGTCACCCAGTGAGTTCTGCAGTCAGAGACGTTACCTCTGAGCTACTTAGAATGGTGGCCACATTGCAAACCTGACTGACAGAATTCAGTCTGCACCAAAGAAAGGACTAGACACGTAGCACTAGTTACTGGTGTCCAATCAAAATTCACTGATGATATTGACTGGCAATTGATTTATGTATATATATATATATATATATATATATATATGGCAATATAATTTCTGTTTAGCATACAAGTTAGCCTTAGAATTGGTTTCAGGACAGTTTTACAGCATACTGTTATAATTCTGTCAATGAATTACAAATTCATTTGAACTTAAATGGATCACAGTTTGCTTATTAGATCGTATGATAATTATCATTCTAGTCTAGTGTGACACAAAGGAATAACCTTAATGATAGTAAAATCACTAATACTGCTGAAATACGTTTTAAAAGAATACAATAGCATACATGAAAATACAATAGACAGTACGTACATATATCACCTAGTCAGAAAGCTCAGTGAACTGGTTGTTTGATAAAAGAATGACTGCCAACCACACACATAGTTCAGTTTCACTTAGTCATCGATGTACTCGTAAATCTCGCCTTGTCTATAATAAGTGCACAAAAGTGAAAACTTTTCGAGTGAGGCTATCAACCTAAATTCGGCAAAAAATATTTTATATTATAATTGTTCCTTTGGGTTCCGAGTAGAACATAGGGCTTCAACAACACATCCCACTACATTCTATTTTTTGCTACCCTCTTCAGCTGGGTCCACGATTGCTCACCTCCTCCTCCTCCTCCTCAGATGATCTCCTGCATATCACTCTCGGATGACCCACTCCTTTTTTATCATTTCGGTTCCACTCGATCGATGGTCTGCATTATGCGCAATATCATTCGACGGTCTCTTCAACGTATTTTCGATCCATCTCCATTTTGAATTAGCCTGTTGGAAATGCTTGTCGCGACGCGAGTTCATTGCAAGTTTCTAACCCATATCGAAGAGCTGACAGACCACATCTGTGTTGTTCTGTATGCTGAGGCGAAATGCAGCAGATATCCCAACTGGTTTCAGGTTGATGAAGGCGTGTCTTGCCTTTTAGATTCTGGCTGGTTTTGACATCTTCATCTGTTCGGATTGTGTGTGATTAAAATCGTGCTTCCTAGATAAGTGAAGAAAGCGACCTCCTTCAAGTTTCTCCCGTTGACAGTGATTGGTGCTAATCGTTGTCGGAGGTGCGTGGGGTTCTTCATCACCTCCATCTTTTCTCTTTGAACCTGTAGTCATATCTTCACTGCGTGTTCAGCCAGTTTGTTGGTTTTAGCTTGCAGTTCTTCGATTTTGTATGACAGAAAACATAGATCCAGATCTTCTAGAATCTTCTTGTCGGTTCAGCGTATTCGTCTCTTCTCCTTTCCCACAGTGTGCCAAATGATCCAGTCCAGCACAATTAAGAATATTATCGGTGGTGTTAGAAGGTCTTATCTCACTCCGGTCTTCACTCCATAGGCTTCCTTGAGTTTTTCCTTGTTAGTCGCTTTATATGTGGCATTGTCATATAGCTCTTGAATGAGATTAGTAAGGGTTTGGGGCACTCCATAGCATTGAAGCAGTTTCCAAATTACTTAACAGTCAACACTGCACTGTCGAAGGCCTTTTCAAAGTCGATGGAACTGAGGTACACACTTGACTGCTATTCTATGCTGTGTTCGATGAAGACGCGTAAAGTATCAATTTGATCAGCACATGACTTGCCTTTCCTGAATCTAACCTCGCCTAGTTTACCAGCTCGCTGGTTTTCTAACCAGTTCCAAAACCGAAAAGAGAAGAATTGTTGGGAATGTGGCCAGAGATCCTACCCCTGAAAACCAACAAAACTGCCACAGAAGCTTCATCTCACAGGAAAAATATTGAAAATACAAAAAATATTTTTAAAAAACTCATTTTTCTCTGAAATTGGAGAGGTGGAATGACCCATAGGGTTGGTGGAAGCCTTTTGGAAAAAACACCATCGCAACTGAAAACTGAATAGCCGTATAGTCCTATTTTCTACTTGGGATTCATTCTACTGATGATTCTCTACTGAATTACAGATTCAGATAAGGACGCTTTTGGAGACGCTGTATGTATGTGAGTGTGGATTTGGTGGTGTAGACTACTCGCATTTTGTAATGAAGCCTTCAAAGTAGTCATTTTCAATGAGAACGTCTTCTCAGAACTCTCATTCCCTTTTGCATGGTGTCGGGACTGCGATTCATTGAAGAATTTAATTAGAAGTTGGGAAAATTGCATTTTGATTAATATATTCTAAGTTTGCCCATGGATTCATGTAAGTTATAGGACCACTGACAACCAGCATGTGGTACTGGACAACCGTTTTATCCTAGTTTGGGACTCTTCATCAGCACGCACACACTGAGTTTTCAACCCAGGCTCCCCGGTTAAAAGACGAGTTCGTGGAATGCTGAGCCACAGAGACACGATTCCTTGGCTCATGAATTCCAACTTCTACAATTTCGTGGGTTTTCAGTGGTTCTCTAACTGAGATCAATCCGTGATCGAACTTGAAACAGATCAGATCCCTCCAAACTAACTCTTAAATTGCTTAGATTCATGGATAGTCATTTACTCTGGTAAGCATAAGATATGATGTGGGTGCTAGGTTCGAGTTTCAGCGTGAATATGATCAACTATTCACTGGTGGGATCCAGATATATTATACCTTGCTGACGATTCCCGTGTAGGACAAAATATGCATCCTAGATGATCTCATTGTTAGTCATTATAAACGAAAATAGCCATTGTAAAGCTTCTAAAATCCGACTTTTATCTTTCCACAATTCAATACTTATATTATTATTGTTCCCTTGGGTTCCTAGTGGAACATAGGGCGTCAACTGCACGTCTCCAATCGCTTCTGTCTTCTGCTGCATCCATGTTAGTTCATACTGTTTCAACTCCTCTTCACACGATCTCCTCCATGTCACCCTTGCACTGACGTCCCACTCGCCGCTTCCCTTTCGGGTTCCACTCGAGCGTTGGCCTGACGCGCGATGTCACCCAGTGGCCTCCTCAGTCAGCGAGTGTCCAATCCATCTCCACTTTCTTCTGCATATTTGTTGAGCGATTGGTTCTTGTTTTGTTTGTTCCCATAGCTTCTTGTTGGTTCTTGTTCTTTCCGGCCATCTGATCTTCAGTATAGAGCGAAGACAGGTGTTGATAAAGGTCTGCAACAGGCTGTTGGAAATATTCTTTGTGACCCACAAAGTTTCTGATCCGTATAGAAGAACTGACTGACTTGACGTTTGTATTGAAAATCCGAAACATTTTGTTGTTGATGCTGAGTGACGAAGATTTCCAGATTGGTTTCAGGTTCATGAATGTGTTTCTCGCCTTCCCGATTGTCGTCTCGATTTGACATCCTCGTTCGTTCCATGTGCCTGTAGTTGAGACAATGCTCCCTAGATAAGTGAAGTGAATGAAGTAACCTCGTTCAAATCCCTCCCGTTGATGGTGATTAACCCTTGGTTTTGCTGTTGTTGTTGTTGTTGGTTGGTTATTTTCATAACCTCCGTCTTGTCTATGTTCACCTGGAGTCCTGTCTTCTCTGGCTGCTTCTTTGACCAGTTTGTCGGTTTTCGCTTGTAAGTCTTCGATTTTGTGTGCCATCAAACATAAATCATCCACGCGCGAAATCCAGGTCTTCTAGGTTGTTCACATCGGTCCAGGATATCCCTGTCTTCTCGTTTCCCACTGTCTGACGCATAATCCAGTCCACCACAATTAGGAATATCATTGGTGATAATAAGCACCCTTGTCTCACTCCTGTGTTTACTCCAAGAGTCTCGCTGAGTTTTCCGTTATGGATCACTTGACATGTGCCATTGTCGTACGGCTGTTGAATAAGGTTGATGAATATTTGGGGTACGCCGTAGCACTCGAGTAGTTTCCAATACTTACTGACACTTATTGTTGCCATTTTTACTATTAGTAATATTACTACTATTTCGTCTTTTTGTTTTCTGTCTACTTTCAGTTGATGGGTATTCGTAATCCGCTACATTTGAAAAAGTTATCAATACATATTCAACGTTGTATGAAAGATTCTAGCCTTAACAATCATGCTTCTTTGTACAGAAATATAGAAGCACCTGAGAATTTTGATATGACAGGTAGTGATACATACTAAATTGATTGTGTATAATTATTTATTATTACTTTTATTAATATTCCCTTGGGTTCCGAGTAGAATGTAGGGTGTCAGCAGCACACCTTCACTCGATCCTGTCCCCTGAAGTCCTCTTTAGCCGGCTGCATGATCGCTCATAAACTGTCATCTCGTCATCTCAAGATCACCCCAATGTCATCCCTTTAGCCACGTCCAACTCGTCGTTTTAGATTCACGCCCAACCTGAGAATGTTTCTGGCACGCGATATCACTCGACGACCTTCATAGTGTGTATGTTCAATACAATTCAATTTTGATTGGTCTGTTACCTGTCAGAGTTCCATGTCACTTATTCTTCCTGACCAACCAGCTAATCTCTAGTATCGAACAAGCTAAGGGAGCTGTTGATGAGGCTTCGAAACGTGTCAGAAATGCTTCTGTCAACATGTCAAATATCTGAAACATATAGAAGCACTAATTGATTTTACATTAGTGCTAAAAATCCTAATCTTTTCTTCATATTGATTGCAGTACTGATTTCCGTATTGATTTTAGACTGATGAATATCTTGATAAAGCAATAAGAAGACGTAATTTGTCTGAATCGTTTAGTGTGTATTTGTGCAACACTCATTTTGAACAATCTGATTGCACACACGACTTGTCATAGGAATCTTTATATATGAATTTAATAAAGCGTTAAAAGGTGAGAAAATAGACAATTTAGGTCAAGTTAAAAGGACATATTCAGGGTCAAAATAACAGTTTGAGATCACTAAACCAAATAGCAGAGGTAATAGTACACCTACCCAGTCTGTCAACAAAACAAACTTTACCAAAGAAGGTTTAATGTGATGACGAATTGTTTTTGAACGCATAAAGGTGGCTTAAACTAGCTAGGGCTTCCAAAAACTTTAGGATACGCCCTCCACCAAACACGTTTTATAGATAGGTTTCAAAGATCTGTCAACGTCAATTTTATGTCCTGTCTCTATAATATGTTTCACAATAGAAGAGCTAGGTCTCCTCTTCTCACCGTTAATAGGTTCTGAAGATTCCATTCGTTTTTGGAGCCATTTAGGAATATGCTCTGTAGCCAGCCCTTACTTGCAGAAATCGATGAGTCCTCCCTATGTATGTGTGTCCACACGTACATTCAAATTGGTAAATACAGTGTGGGATGTGACATCATTTTTCGCATGTTCAAAGGGCTTAGATGGATATATTGACTTCACATTCTCAATTATTACGATGTTAGCTGCAAAAGAAATTCGTCTTTTAAACAGCAGCGTTCAATCTTTGTCTAGTTATCAAGCTGCCATGATCTCCCATATAGGGTAGCTTGATGTACACGTCTTTCTTAACAGCGAGTTGGAGAGTGGGTCTTGATGTTCTAACTACTTTATATTTCCTGATGAAATTGTCTGGATAATTATTATCAACCAAAGTTCGACTTTCTTTCTTCCTCATGAAGTGCGTCTTCAGTGCATATTCATTGGATTCCACCTCACTTCCTAAGGCTATTTTGTAGCGAACAGGACAGAAACTGTGATAATTAAGATACTGTCCTGTCCAAGTACATTTTCTATAAATAGATCGTTTTTTCCATCCATCAAGCCATCGACTAAGCAATATGTCAGCTAGGAAAGATAAACAATTATCTTCCTCTTCTACAGACGTAAATGATGTGCTATTCTGGACTTCATTTACTCGATTTAAAACTGAGATGGCAGAACAAGCCTTATCAGTTATGATTACAATGCCTTTGACATACCTTCTATAAATTGGCACATTTTCGATTAAATCCTCCAATAATCTCTCAGTGTACGACATATAGATATCTGCTATAAAAAGGGTCCCTAACGGACTTCCCATAGCAACGCCATCAACCTGACGGAAACAATTACTTTCAAATGCAAACCTAACATTGCTAGTACATAGAAGTAATAAATCTCTTAAATGAGATATAGGGAACGGGATGAAAATCTGTCTTGGTTTTCCCATTCTGACTTTGACATTCTCATCACTGTTGACTGCCTGTTTTCGAAATGACGCTGCTAAGATACGTGAAGTAGTCGATATCCTACAAAATTCTCTAGTTGACAGTGACTGACGCCTCTTGTTGTTGGTCAGCGGATGTACTCATCATCTCTGTCTTCTTTGTGTTTGCTTGGAGTCTTGTCTTCACTGCCTGTTCCCTTTTCTATTAAGAAGTTGGCTGTTCTTCGAGTTCATGTACTATTAGACATAGATTAACGGTAAAGTCCAAATCTTCTAAAGTTTAGCTATCACACGAATGTATTCCTGTCTTCCTGCTCCATACGTACAGTTTGCAGAATGGTCCATTCCTTCGTAGACGAATAACCGTTGTCCGTGTCTTGCTGTTTTCTTTGTGTCTAGTTTGTATTTCCTCCCCCCAATGGATTCTTTTTGAGGTAAATTTGATTCATACTTACTCTGTTTAAAGGAATACAACAGAGATACGCTTGAAATTAATAAACAAAGCAAATATTTCGTTGGTTCCTATTTATATCGATTGAAAATAATGATCATAGGTTTCGTTACGAGTTGGCATTATTTAGAGAAACATGGAAGAACCAGAGATGGAGTATTGGGCCCCTGTTTCGTCCTGGTTTGGTACTCTTTAGCAGTACATGCACGCTAAGCTTCTAAACCAGTTATATCCGGTCACAAGGCTAGCTCGTAAACCATCCAGACACCGGGACCTGACCCAATGACCAATGTTTGATTTCCAGCTCCCGTCGATTCGCGATATATAAAGCGCAACTGCCACTCAATATCATAAGCGAGTAATTGTTCCCTTACTTGATTTGGTGGCCCCCACTGGTTATGAATTCTCACCATAACTCGAGGTAACTTCCTGTGAAGAGTCAATTGACAGTGATTTGCAGGGATTTAAAGTTACCTAGAGTTCTGCTGAGAAGTTGTAGTCAGTAGAGTCCATCATATCAGGAAAGAGTACCATTACTCCCCTATGACATTTGCTGGCAGTTGTGTCATGTATATTGCGAATCGGCAGAAGTTGGAATTCACGTGCTGATCACTGGATCAGATCCCAGTGTCTGAATGATCTACGCTCTTGCGTAGTAACCGGAATGTCTTAAGTTCGAACCATGGCGGGTTCACACTGTTGAGGAGCCCCAGACTAAGACGAATCAAGTGACCAGTACTCCCAGAGTTTCAATGGTTACCTAAATGACGTCCTAGTTTGGGATTCTTCATCAGTACGCAGTCATCGGGGTTTGAACGCAGGGCCTTCTGGTTACAAGGTGAGCTTGTAGACCATCTAGTACTCCCAGTTTTTCCTGCAGTTGTCTAACTGGTGTCAACTCATGATCAGACATGTGACTGATCAAATCCCTGCAAAACAAAATCAGATAATTAATTCTACGTTACACTACTGTATTCGTTCAACAGTATTTCATCACAGGAACAAAAGATAGGTTCTATAGTACAATCCTATTTTCGTAGCTTTAAATCTAAGTGTACATTAAATATTTGAACACGTTTTATTCGATCATATACTCTGAGATTCTCGAGGCATTTGAAATCCTATATTTTCATCAATCACACACAGTGTGTTTGTTATACAGTAATATTTACCACTGATGCCACCACGTTTCGAGCAAAATTTATCGCTGCTCGTAATCATATCAAGACACTACTCACGCACAAGTTTCTTGCTTCATTTATATACATGAGTAAAATTTGATGCGATTAGACATTTGAATAAAATCAATATTAAGATAAAGTACATTCGGAGTCATTCTTGTCTAAAAATTCTCTAGAAAACATGAATCAGTGGAGAATAGTGTCTTGTTGGCTTTTTACCACATTCAGCAGTCTGCACCCATATATCGTGACGACTAGTGGTGTTTGTCAGGGATGCCCATTATCCCCATTTCTATTCAACTTCATCATAGATGTACTAATGGATTTAACCCTAACTCACTTCAGACACTCAAGGATTGACTTGCTACCAGGGAATAATCTTGTTGACTTAGAATATGCAGATGATATAGTCCTCTCTTGTAGGTGAAGACGTTGACAAAATGCAGAGTCTTCTGAACACCTTGAGCTGCAATCTGCGAATGTTTGGCCTGTGACTTGCTCCCGCCAAATGCAAGATGATGTTACAGGATTGGACTACACCCACTCCTAGTTTAGAAATAGGGACAGGTAGTGGTAGTGCTTTTTGTGCTACATGGAGTGTGGCGACTTGAACTGCCGCACATCGGTGCAAAGTTCTATGTCGGAAACAGACAGACAGACAGACCCATATATCGTGGTACGAACGGTCTATAAGTCATCTATAATTCAACCTCCTAGTAAGCATTTAATAGTTTCTTAATTTTCTAATAGAGAAACATCGAAGATAACACCTAAACTAACAAGGAACTACTTGTCATTGTCGAAGAGGACTTGAAGAGGCTGTACACTATAACCACTAGAACGCTTAAAACATCCTTCTTCTTGCATTCCTTTGAATGTGAGTGGAACGTAAAACTTTGAAGTTTTGAAGTTACAATATTGACGGTGTTGTTTCTATGGAATGAAGGTGGTTAGCCTGAAGCCCAACCTCCCCTCACTCCTCCAGGTTTACTAATGACAGGATTTAGGGTTACGTTGGTCAGGAATCGAACCTTGATCTGATGTGCACAGTTGACAAGTATCCTACGAGTGAACCATGGACATTTAAAATATCCATTCGGAAAATTCTTTTATTGTCAATGATTATTTAATAATAGTAATAATAATAATAATAATTTGCTTTATTCCAAAACAGTACTTGTGATACAGAATGGAATTCTCAGCATTTTTACTACAGTATTGCATCTAGTTAGTACATTATCAATAAATAGAATTCTACATAGATTAAGGAAATCTCAGTTCATTATGACAAAAACATATTGGAATGTCGGTAGCAAAGCCAAACTGGAACAGTGTTTGAAGGTGTTAGAAAGGTAGGTGCTGTCATATATACTGGCGTAAGCGGAAGGAAGAAACGAAGCAGCACAAAACGGAAAAGGAGAGAGAGAGAAAAGGAAGAGAAAGAAAGAAAATGTTGTACCTATAAATGATATGAGTTGGAAAGACGAGATCCAGTTGTACTACTGACTATTTAATGAATTATAGGTATCACGCCTAATGCTTTCTTTATCGCACAGAACACGAACTAAGTAGGGTATGGTTGAGTTTTTGTACTTGCTGGTGCGAGCATACAGTTTTCTCTATAGGCTTCTGGTTTTGCCTGATGAGATGCACGGGGAGAGTTGTGAGTGAAGAGGGTGGTGTGATTTAGACAGAATGGATTTGGCCCATTTTTCACATGAGTCCATGTGCCTGTCAACCAGAATATTGACAAGCTGGTTAAGTGGCACTTTGCTTACCCTGCTGACAACATTTAACATCCTGCATAATATGTTATAGTCTTTCTTCAGTAGCCCGGGAAAAACTAAGGGGGAACAATAGAGAATAACAGGCAGGATGCGAGAATTAAGGAATTGTAGGAGTAAGGGTTGGGTAATACCAGAATGTTTTAACTTCTTAATGTAGAAGGTAAGACGGAATATTTTCTTAGAAATTGCTAAGATATGAGACGACCAGGAGAGATCAGCAGATAGAATGACACCTAGGTATTTAATTTCCGATTTGGTTTCTATTTCAGTGCCGTCTATGTTGCATACCTCATGAGACCCAACTAAACTACTAAAGATGCATGAAATGGACAGTATAAATCTTTAATTTTTTAATTTTTGGTTTGTTTTCTTTTTGTGCAATACAGGTTGGTTACACGATATCGGTTTATCAGCATACATTCCACAATTCGACAATTGTATTATTGATCCGTATGTATTAGATCAACTCAGTATGGTAAGATATTTTGCTTTGAATGAAGAGTTTATTTTATAAGATTGAGATTAAAGTGAACAAAGAATGTCACTTTGAGATAACACTTTCTTCATCAGATTCTAGAGTTATATATGCCCGTAGTAATCAAAGAATCATTCTTATTGTATGGAAGATTTCATCATGACCTGGCATCAGTTAGACAACCACTGGAAAACCAGCTAGGAGTACTGGACAGCTATTTCGTCCTACTTTTGGATTCTTCAGGGTGGGTGCGTACTGATGAAGAGCCCCAAACTAGGACGAAACAGCTGTCCAGTACTCTCACCTGGTTTTCCAGTGGTTCTCTAACTGATGTCAGCTCATGATGAAATCCTCCATGTAATCAAACAAAATCCCCACAAAATCAATGCTTGAGAATTATTCTTATGAACAACATTAAGCTTTTAAATCAGAGAAAATACCCATTGAGTCATGAAGAAAATAAAAGACAAATTCAGCGAAGAAATTGCCTCTTTATTGAAGGAATCATCCTCACAGCCTGTACAGACGTATTTATATAATAACCAGAAAATGTATTTTTATTATTGTTGCCTTGAGTTCCTAGTGGAACATAGGGCTTCAACTGCACGTCTCCACTTGCTTCTGTCTTCTGCTGTACTTTTCACCTGCGTCCATGCTATTCCATACTGTTTCAACTCCTCTTCACACGATCTCCTCCATGTCACCCTCGAACGTCCCACTCGCTGCTTCCCTTTCGAGTTCCACTCGAGCTATGGCGAGCCTGACGCGCGATGTCACCCAGCGAGTGGTCTCCTCAGCGAGTGAGTGTCTAATCCATCTCCACTTTCTCGTGCATATTTGTTAGGCGATTGGTTCTTGTTTTGTTTCTTCCCATAGTTTCTTGTTGGTTCTTGTTCTTTCCGGCCATCTGATCTTCAGTATAGAGCGAAGACAGGTGTTGATAAAGGTCTGCAACAGGCTGTTGGAAATATTCTTTGTGACCCACAAAGTTTCTGATCCGTATAGAAGAACTGACTGACTTGACGTTTGTATTGAAAATCCGAAACATTTTGTTGTTGATGCTGAGTGACGAAGATTTCCAGATTGGTTTCAGGTTCATGAATGTGTTTCTCGCCTTCCCGATTGTCGTCTCGATTTGACATCCTCGTTCGTTCCATGTGCCTGTAGTTGAGACAATGCTCCCTAGATAAGTGAAGTGAATGAAGTAACCTCGTTCAAATCCCTCCCGTTGATGGTGATTAACCCTTGGTTTTGCTGTTGTTGTTGTTGTTGGTTGGTTATTTTCATAACCTCCGTCTTGTCTATGTTCACCTGGAGTCCTGTCTTCTCTGGCTGCTTCTTTGACCAGTTTGTCGGTTTTCACTTGTAAATCTTCGATTTTGTAGAAAATGTATAGTAGTCCATTAATGAGTAATAGAGGGGTGACATAATTGGTGTAATTACTCAGAACTGGCTTCTAAATTAAAAATAAAAGTTATGAATTACGGAATACTCAACGATGGCCCAAAGAAAGAAAGTGTTAGAAATTTGATAAGGTTAAAATTGTTATTGAGTGAAAAGGAAGGCGGTAGTAGAGTGTCCAAGTGTAAACAAGTGTGAAGAGGGTGTGAAAATGTACAAAGGGAACATATGACAGTGATAATAGTGAATTAATTCTTAAAGTGATGTTAATTATCGTAAAACCAACGTGTTAGTGACATAACAAATCGCTTAATCATCACCTATTTACGTGTACAAAACGTGATAGATTATTAGTGATTTGATTTCAGGAAAATGTGTGATCTATAAATGATGAAAGATTAAAAGTGACAGAAAAGAAATAATATTTTCTAAAGGGTCGGGTTCATGAACTTATTAGAGACTGACCTTATATAAGAATAAAACTTGTCCACTGCAGTGGTAGAGTATAATTCCATTATGGGTAAAATTTATTTTGATAAAGTCTCACAGTGTTATACACTAATATTTACTGATGACCATGTTTCGAGCACAATTTATACACTGCTCATAATCATATCAAGGCACTACTCACACAACTTTCTAACTTCGTCTATATAATTCCATTATTATTCCATTATTTCCCATCGCTTGACTTGATCGGCAGTAGTATTTTCCATATTTTCAGTATGAGTGATGAGTCATTGCATCCCATTGCACGTGTTGGGAGTAGACTCGATGAACAAGGATTCAGTAATCAACCTCTCCCTCTCTCCACCTACCTGTATTACTTCTTAGAATTTTAACCCTCTCCCCCATCCACCCTATTGTGTGGTTGTGTGTTAAGGCATGCAGTGCAATGTAGTGCTGAGCTTTTCTCTAAATTACTTATATTCGTGGGGTCAACCAATCTCACCTTTGCTAAATTCTTATGTTCCGACAATCTGACTACCCGCGATCTACTGGTTTGACCTATGTAGTTGACTTAACTCACAGTCATTGCAAGGTACTTTGTAAATTTTATTATTTTGTCTAATTGGGTCAACAGAGTCCTTTAACCAACAGAGCTTGTCCTGCCTGAGTGAGTTTGTAGGTTTGAACGCCACTCTAATTCCTGCTTTATTACGAACCTTACGTAAAGTCTCAGATGTCCCCTCCTTATATGGTATAACAGTAGATGCCTTATATTCTTCTTTATTTATGTTACCACTACTATTTTCACAATTATTTTTACTTTGCTTTTGACCTTTCCTGACCTTCCTAATCAAGTCAAGCGATGGAAAATAATGGAATAATAATGGAACGAAGTTAGAAAGTTGTGTGAGTAGTACCTTGATATGATTATGAGCAGTGTATAAATTGTGCTAGAAATGTGGTCATCAGTAAATATTACTGTATAGCACTCTATGAGACTTTATCAAAATAAATTTTACTCATAATGGAATTATACTCTACCACTGCAGTGCACAAGTTTTATTCTTATAGCTTGGATTTTGATTTCTTTTAAGGAATGAGTTTGATAGCTTCTGTGTTTTATGGCCTTATTGCCACCTAAGAAAGTAGGACGGGTTTTGGAATTCATCGGTTTGGAATCGAATTCTGACTACCTATGTGGGTCGAGAGTGTTCTACCGATGTAGTGCACTATCTATATAAAAACGATACTAATTTCATGTGTAGATGTAATGGAGAAGATTTGTAGCTCAGTTGGATGATTTTGATGTATTTATGTTCCCTGAATTGGATGGTTTATTTACGAAGCTTTCATTGCCTCCTACTAGGCAACAGCTTCAAAGCATGGTTCAATTTGTTGAAGTGGGGTTTTTGACTTCTCCACGAGTTTATAAGTTATCACTCCTGATGACCATGACCGCGATTGGCTGTCTCTGGATATCTTCCAAGCCAACCTACCACATCAAAAGCCCCCAAGTAAAACACAAGGAAAATCACCCAACCATATATGAAGTACATCTCCGAAATCACTGCAAGACACTTCAAACCTGTGCGTCGGTGGCACAGCGTTTAGGACTCTCGCCTACCATGGTCCGGGGTTCGATCCCCTGCCGGTGCACACCCGATATCAATGGTCGGCCTGCAAAATTTGGGCTACCGATATCACATGCTGAAAATTCCATACTTGTACCAAAAATACTGTGTGGTTTCAAGCTATCATCAAAATGAAAATTGATGTCACACACAAACCAACAAAATCACTTCACTCAGTCAGCTCTGTATCGAACAAAAGACTCAACAGCAAAAGAAGATAAAACCAACATCATCTACAAAATAAATTGTAACGACTTCGAGAAACACTACATTGGCCAAAGTGGACGTCCTCTTCGTCTTCGCATCCATGTACACAAACTAGCCGTCAAACGACATGACGTTTACTCCCTCATATCACTACATACAGACAACCACGGACATCAATTCGACTGGGACAACGTTGAAATATTAGACAGAGGAAACAACAAGAATGCCAGAAAATTTTTAGAAGTCAGCCTGTTATTCCAGTGAATCGTCAATTAATAGACACATCGACCGACACAGACAATATTTACCAATCGATAAGAAGGAAATCTCACACACAAAGGGTCAAACTTCAGGTCAAGGAAACAATCAGTACCAATTCAACTAGCCTAGAGGTTGTGAAAACACACAAAAACAACCAATCACTTTCAAGGTCACACACCAGGAGAGATGAATAATAAACTCATGGAGAAATCTAAAAGTTCACTTCAACAAATTGAAGTATGCGCTGAATATGTTGCCTAGTAGGGTAATGAAAGCTTCCTAAATAAACTATACAGCTCAGAAAAATACAACTACATCAAAATTTCATATGTTTTAACCAAGAAATATTTTTAAAATGTAAATAAATTCTTTAGAACTAAAATCAGAAATACCTCACAAGTTAGCATTTTCCTAATGAGTTCTTAGTTTAACAGCTAATTTTTGTATTGTCATTATGGTTCACAAGCTGTGATCTCGTTCTCATACAATCCCCACCCCCAAGTTACCCTTTGACCCATGCTCAACATTTTGTTCCGAATCCAGATTCCACTCAAGGGACTAGCGCATGATTTCGCCCAATGGTCTCCTCCGTATATGCCCGATCCATCTTCATTTTCTTTGGAATATTTTGTTGAGAAATCGGGTCTTGGTTAGTTCATTCTCAGAACTTCTTGTTGCTAATTCTTTCTGATCGAACAAAAGCGACTCATTGTGGCCTGAACTCACTGTATAACTGACCAAAACTTCCTTGAGTCATACACAGTCAAAAAACGCTCCAAAGACAGCAAAAATAGGGTTATTCGCCGTAAAATCTGTGGTCCGTTTTTTGATTTCACATTAGTCAGTAACCGGTGTAATGTGTCTAGTCCTATCTTCGCTGCAGATTGGCCACATTGCAAGCTTGACTGATATGTCAAGCTTGCAATGTGGCCACCATGTTAAGTGGCTCACCATTAGGTGCACTGTGAATTGTTGGTATTAGATGGTTGAAGGCAATCGGCAGGAAGCCTTGGACCTAGGTTTCGTGCTAGTTGACACTCATCCAATACAGTCCTACAGGAGGTCAATCGCGAGCCTGAATAGCTCAGTGGTAATGTCTCTGACTGCAGCGCTCACTGGGCGACGCGGGTTTGAACCTCAGAAGGGACATGAGTTCCTTCAAGGTTTCACATATGCCTTGCTGATGAGTGCCAACTAGCACGAAACCTAGGTCAGGCAAGGCTTCTTGTGGCCAATTGCGTCCAACCATCTAATACCAACAATCTGTGGTTGTCATAAACAATGGTAATATGAAAAACTCAAAACTACCTCAACGTTGCCATTAAGAAGTTGTACAGGGTGGATAAGTTTCTAGTGCAAAAATAAGTACTGTAGAACAAAATTAGTTAACTACAGTTCAACCATGAGAAGTCCCTTAGAATCAAGTAGAATATTCGCAACAAAGTGGGATGGAATTCGTGTCAGCAAGAGTCACAGACCGGGTAATTTTCGTCAGCATTTCAAGGTCAAAGTGACCTCCATTCACTCAAACAAAATCGCACTGTAAAACAACACACTACGAATATCGAGCTTGGGAATCCGGATGTTGATGAAAGTCTGTAGTGGTCTGTTAGAAGCACTGACTGACTTGACATAATTGTTGAATATTCGGATGTTGTTCATTGTATTAAGCACTATGGATCTCCACACGGATTTCAAAACAATGAATGTAAGTCTTGTTTTCCAACTCCGATCCTGGCTGACTTCTGCAACCTCAGACACTTCACCGCCTTTACGTGAAATGATGCTTTTTCGATCGGGTTAGCGAAATAAACAACTTCCTTTAGACTTCTCCTGCTATTTATCATTGGCGCTTGTTAGTGTTGTTGTTATTATCATTTTTGGTGATCGGATATCGTCGGGTATCACTTCCGTCTTCTCTATATTCACCTGAACTCGTGTTTTCGCTGCCTTGTTCGTTTTCCCTTGTAAATTATCAACTTTTGTGTGCTTTGAATAAATCGCTAATTAAGTAAGAAACGCATTATTAGATATTATTATTTCCTTTTATTCCTAAAGGAATATAGGTCTTCAGCCTCACGTCTCCATTGCGTTCGGTTCTCCATCAACGTTTTCACCTGGCTCTACGTGTGCCCACATGCTTTCATCTCCTCTTCTCATCACCTCCTCCTCCATGTCACCCTCGCTTCTGATTCGGGTTCCACTCGAGAACCCGTTGTGTGATATCACTTGATGGTTTGTTTTCTTATAGTATGGCCAGCGAATCCACCTCCATTTCTTCCTGCATATTTGTTACACAGTTGGTTGCTGCTAGGTTGGTTCGTTCGTCCCCAGAGATCCCTGTTGCTGATCTTTTCTGACCGGCCATCTGATCTTGAGCAAAGACAGCTGTTGATGAAAGTCTGTAGTTTGTTTGAAGTGCCCTTCGTGACGCGGCGTGGCGCGGCGCCAAGTCTCTGATCCGTATATTAAGTAGCATTGACTTCACATTGGAGTTGAAAATCCGGATCTTATTTTCATTTTCATGGTAAGTGCTGTTGATCTCCTCCACAGAGACTTGACAGTAATGAAAGCCTGCCTTGCTTTCACGATCTTCTCTGCTTTGATATCCTCACCAGTTCCGGTATTCTATAGTTGAAACGATGCTTACCAGGTAGGTAGGTGGTAAAAAAGGGTTGCTTCTTTCAGACTCAGTTTCTCCCATTTATGATGGCTGATTGTTGTTTGTTGTTGTTGCTGTTCCTCGTGGCCAGGAATCTTCATCACCTCTGTTTTTTCTATCTTCACCTGAACTCCTTCCTATCTTTGGTGCTTCTTCTGCTGACTTGTTGCTTTTCACTTGCATATCTTCCAGTTTGTGGGAAATCAGACAGATGTCATCATCGACGAAATCCAGATCCTCCAAGTTTTTGTGTGGGTCCATTTTATGCCTGTCTCCGCGTGCTGGCTGTCTGTCGCATTATCCAGTCTACTGCAATCACGAAAATCACTGGAAATGGTAGACAGACAGCTTGTCTTACTGCCGTCTTCACTTTGAAGGATTCCATGAGTTTCCCATTGTGGATTACTTGGTATGCAGCATTGTCGTACAACTGTTGGATGAGATGTATAATTTTTGGCGGTAAAGTAGTTTCCAAATCACCTGTCGATCGAAGCTGCGCTATCAAAGGCCTTTTCAAAGTCAATGAAGTCGAGATAGAGACATGACTGACTGCTATTCCAAGCTCTGTTCAATGATGATCCGTAGTATTAAGATTTGATCGATGCATGACTTGTCTCTCCTGAAACCAGCCTGCCCTGGTCAAAGCTTTTTATCCTGGGTGGCGTGTATGATTCTCTGCAGGATGATGCGGCTTAGTATTTTGCTTGGACATAGACGAGATTAATCGAATCTGTAATAGAAAAACACGAACGCCTTACACTTCTTTTATTGTAATTGCCTAGATATCGTTCACTAATAAAAATCGTAATATGTTATCGTAATTTAGGTTAACACTGTGTTTCACTGTGTTCGTTTTGAATTATAAATCATTATTTCTATTTATTTATCTTTTTTATTAATCTTTTTTTTCATAAAATATAAATATAAGGATGATCTATCCGTGTTGAAAATGTCAAATGAACTGCATGTGTTAAGTTTACGTTGGGGTATACAAATGTTACGACATATCAGTTTTGATAGAAATCGTTTATGTCGAGATCACATGCAACAGTGTAAGTGAAAGTCTTTTTCATCTTTTCTGTTGTTGTTGATGTTGTCTGATGGCTCTTTTTTCCCTCCATTCTCTTGTATCATCTAAAATGCAGGCACACACACATATACGTTAATGTTTCTTCTAGACGTGTGTTATTTTGCAAAATGTCAAATATCTAGGCGAAATTCTTATTCTAGAATATTGAAATGGCGCTAAAAAAAAGGGAATTTGTGGCCGGATTTGATTGGTTAAAGGTGTAGTAATGAGCTAACATCACTTAGAAGACCACTGGGGAACTGGGGAGGTAGTACTAGACAACTGTTTCGTCGGTCTAGTTTGGAACTCTTCAGTAAACACGTCCACTGAGGGTCGAATCCAAGACCTTCCGATTATAAGCCGAGTTCGTTGACCATTAATCCACTGGGATTCAATGCGATGCCGTTGTCTATCTGTCTGTTTTCGACGTAGAACTTTGCACCGATGTGCGGCAGTTCAAGTCGCCACACTCCATGTACCACACAAAGCAAGAGAAGAAAGTAGAAGAAATGCATAATAGAGACAGTAAACAGAGGTGTGAGACAAAGGTGTAGTAATAACGAAGAACAATATAGTTTCATTGGAAATCATAAGTCATAAGGAGTGGATGCATCTGCGCCATCCATTGAGAAAGATTTTGAGTCATATCACCGATTGTCTACAGCCATTGGTTTTTACCGTCCTGAGGACCCCAACCAGGAGGTCTACATCTTCCTAAGTGGCTGGCTGGCTTAAACTAACTGTTGTGGATTTCATTGACTGGTGCCATGTTTTAGTTTCACCGCCGCTAACTCTTTTCCAGCCTGACCCTATGTCAGAAAACATTGCCCGTCGAGGGAGGCGATGACTAGGCATACGTAACACATGTCCTAACCATCTCAGTCGATGTAATTTCACAGCCTCGTCGATTGATTTTCCCTTCTTACCTAGTACTCAACGCCTGACCTCAACATTGCTCACCTTATCATACCACTTCACACGGGAGATAGAGCGCAGACACCTATGATCGAACACAGATAATCTTTTCATGTCTTCTGCTCTCAATGACCAAGTCTCACAGCCATAAAGGAGGACGGAGCGGACTGTTGAGCAGTACACACGCCCTTTGGTCGATAGTCGGATATCACGTCTACGCCAGAGACGGCGTAAACTGGCATATGCGAAACTAGCCCTCTGTATTCGTGCTGAGATTTCGTCGAAGATCAACCCGTTGGGGCTGATGGTACTTCTCAAATAAGTGAAGCGGTCAACGTGCTCTACCACTTCACTTCCTATATATAATCTAGGGGTCGGTGAAGTCCAATCCTGCAGCATCATCTTACACTTTACAGGGGCGAATCGCATACCAAACATACGAAGATTGTTGCTCAAGGTGTTCAGAAGACTCTGAATTTTGTCAGCGTCCTCGCCTAGAAGGACTATATCGTCCGCATATTCTAATTCGACGAGATTATTCCCTGGTAGCAAGTTAATTCCTGAGTCGCTGAAGTGTGTTAGGGTTAAGTCCATTAGTACGTCTATGATGACGTACTCTTTAGCATCACACGTCCACCGGGGTCGAATCCAGGCTACTGAGACTAGATCCAGTATGCGCTGAATGAATTTCGACTTCTGCCAATTCACGATATTTTGAGAAACTGCTTTTTTCGCTGTGATTGTACTCTTTGAGCTGAGGGTGATTTTATTGAGATTTCATTGTTTGTCCTTCTAAACAAAATCGCTTCAAGTATTGATTTGCGGGGATTTTGTTTTATTAGTTAGAGGATTTTATCATGAGCTGACATCGGTTAGAGAAGCAGGGGAAAACCTGCAGGGAGTACTGGACAGCTGTTTCGTCCAGATAGTTTGGGACTCCTCAGTACTATGCACCCACCATCAAGGTTCGAACCCAGGACCTTCTGATTACAAGGCGAGCTTGCTAGTAGACCACTGAGCGACTGGGACCTGGTCCAACGGCCAGTCCATTGATTCTGACTTCTGCCAACTCAGGATATAGCACGACCACTAGCAGTGTCTTCGATGAATAAATGTCCTCACCTTCGACCTGCTGCACCAATCACATTGGCTTCATTCTAGACTCTGTGAATGATATCATCGTTGTAATTGTTTATTAATGCATGTTAGTATCGATCATTTTGCTGACCCGGAATTTTACTTTCTTTGTCATGTGATTTTTTCTTCATTGGTAGATAAGTTCGATCGGTGGAAGTTATGTCTGTTAAGTTTTAATTCGTCTGAGTACCAGGTTTTTGAGAAATCCTCTGGCATTCTTCTTGTTTCCTTTATCTAAGAAGAAGTCAAGCTGGTGTCCATAATTGTCTGCATGCAATGATACGATGGAGTGGATATCATGCCTTTTGATAGACAGTTTGTGTTTGGTGGATGTAGCTATGCAGAGGCGGTTCACTTAAAGCAAAATAATGTTTTCCACAGTTGTTACAGTTTATCTTAGAGTTGATGTCGGCTTGGTCTTTTTTTGCTGTTGCATTCATCTGAGTTACAAATCTTTCCATCATAAATGCATAAAATTATATACTACTCGTTCACTGAAATAAGTAGATATATACTAATCACATCCTAGAAGCCTGGTACTCAAAGGAAACATCGATGGTTCTCTAACTAATATCAATTCGTGATTAACACGTAGAAACAAATCTAATCCTTACAAACCAACTATTGAAAATTAATCTGATGCTCGCTAGTGACTACTGGCCACAGGAAAGAGTTTCCTGGAGTTCCAGTGAGAAGTCGTGACCAATGAGGTCCATCAAGTCTGGAGTGAGAATGGAATTCCCACCAATGTCATTGGTGGGTCGTCACGCTAAATGCTCCACGAACTGGCAGAAGTTGGAAGTCATGGGCTGACCATTGAGTCGATCCCAGTGGCTGAATGGTATGCCAGTTTGCCTTGTAACCGGAAGCTCCTGGGCTCGAACCCTGGCGGTGGGTGTGTACTGCCGATGTGTCCTAAACTAGGCTGGTGAAACAGCTGTCCAGTACTCCCAGATTGTTTTCAATGGTTCGCTAACTGATATCAATCAACAATCAGCTCGTAAAAACATAATAATATAGACCAAATTTCACAACTGACAAAAAGTAAATCACGTTACGATGAACGTCTGTTTTCCATACTGCTGATAAATCTTATTAATGACTACCTCTGAGTTATTACACATCACTCTATTCACAAAGTTGTTATCCCATAGATCCCGAACTGTGTGCATACAGTCAAAACAATAGACTTCAATCATTTGCCTACTCTGGACTACTTGAGCTACTAAAATACGACTCGTCATGAGAATGCATTTTTATTTTATTGGTTGATATTAGTTGGTTGGAGGCACTCTGCCACAGGAAGCCTTGCCTGACTGACCTAGGTTTCGTGCTAGTTGGCGCTCACCAACCAGTCAGCAAGGCAGGCGTATCTGCAACCTTGAAGGACCTTATGTCCCTTCTAAGATTCCAACCCCTTAAGTCGACCATTCTACACCCATTCCATCTGCTTTCGCAGATTCCCAACACTTCTATTCCATATCTTCTCATTTCTGCGGCTACCTGGGCAGCCTTTCCAGCTTCGTACATTATACGAACATTCCACGTCCCCATCTTTATTTTTGCTTTCATCGAAAGAAGAAGGCACATCGGCTGACTGGCTTCCCGAAAGCTTTCACCAGCCTGCATCATTTCACTTCCCCGATTCCAGCGAAAAACAAGGCTATTGTTTATATTTTTAGTATTTTTAATATATTTATGCGTTGAAGTTTCTGTAACAGTTCGTTTAAGTTTTGGCGGTGGAGTTGCTAGCACCACGCCTCAACCCTCCCTCTTTATCCGGGCTTGGGACCGGCTAGAAAACTAGCGAGCTAGTAATCTAAGCGAAACTACGAGAACAAACAAAACAAGAACCAATCACCCAACAAATATGCAGGAGAAAGTGGAGATGGATTGAACAGTCGTTGAGGAGGCCGCTGGGTGGCATCACACGTCAGGCCAACGCTCGAGTGGAACCCGAAAGGGAAGCGGCGAGTGGGACGTCCAAGGGTGACATGGAGGAGATCATGTGAAGAGGAGTTGAAACAGTATGGACTAACATGGATGCAGGTGAGGAGTACAGCAGAAGACAGAAGCAAGCGGAGACGTGCAGTTGAAGCCCTATGTTCTACTAGGAACCCAAGGGAACAATAATAATAAGTTGCCCATTGCTTCAGTGAGAGGCGTTACCACTGAGCTATTCAGCCTCGCAACTGACCTCCTGTAGGAATGTATTGGATACTTAGGTTAGAGACCACCAAGAATTCCAGCCACATTGCAAAATTGACTGACAGAATTCAGTCTGCACCAGCATCGGGGACTAGACACACTACGCTAGTCACTGATTAGTCTCCAATCTAAGTTTTCTTTAAATTTTATTATTGTGAACCATGCTGGTTGTAAAGCGTTCGTAACGGAACTACGAAATGATGCAGTGCCGCAATAATATTTATCTTCTTACTACCAGGAATTGAATTTTGGATTTTCTCGGCGATTGATTGGACCGAAGTGCTCGGTCTCAGGTTGACATGTCGGCTTCTTGTGCAGATGCTTCGATGGGAAAATCTAAAATTCAGTTCAATTAATATGACCCGTTGCATAAGAGGTGGCTGACTCTCGTGGCCCAAGTGGTCTAGTGGATAACGCTTCGGCGTTTTAAAATATGATCACTGGGTTCGAGCCTCGATGGGAACATCATCACTCACTGAGAGATGCAGGTACATCCAGCTGACGAGTCTCAAATAGAACGAAATGCTCATTGTCCTGGATTCCACTGCTAGTCACCATCCAGCAATTAAATACGTCTTAATACCTTGTTCAAATGTATCAAAAGGGACTAACTATTTTAATTATTATATAATCGTCGCCCGTGAAATTATTAACCGAATACTGTTAACATTGTAATACTTTACAGGTACAGCAAATATACTTATCAATAGGAATCTATTGAATTCTCCAAAGCAATCATTCCCTTCTACTACAGATAATATGAAGTTAAACAATGAACTGAATGGAGTGGTTCATTCTGGTATGAATAATTCTCATACTGTCACCACCAGCACAGCCACCAACGACAAGAACAACAACCTTACCAGTGGTTTAAACTCTTCTTCAAGACCAAATTCAGTGAATCATGAAACTGAAGTATACATTTCCACTTATCTTCCTATACAAATATGCTATTGGACACAACAAAGAGTATTAGATTGGTTACAAAGTATTGAATTGCCCGAGTATGCACCGAAATTATTCGGTAGCGGTGTACATGGAGCTTTAATGGTATGTTTTGGTACTTCACACGCATTTGTTTTTATTTTGGTTGTTTTTTCTTTTTTTTTTATTCCTTTACATTCCCAGTGGAACATAAGGTGGCTTCAAGCTAGAGGTTTGAAGTTTCGGTATCAGTGGCGTTTAGTTTTATGGGATGGGGTTGCTGCTGGTCTCATGCTTAACCTTCCCTCTTTACCCGGATTAATACAGACCAAACGAGGTAAAGGAGTGCGTTGGTGGCCGGGAATCGAACCCTGGACCACATGTGGGGTGGTCGGCGAGCATTCCACCGATGCAGGTAGTTCTGGTAATGTTATAAAATCGTTACTGCAGTTCAACTAGTATATTAATGAAATTGACAGTTTGTAAATTAGTTGACCATATGCAATGTACACAGTTCGATGGGTAAATATTTGTTAAAAACGATATACTACTCACTAATCAAGATGAGTAGTTGTATGACACTCATTTTAATCAGTAGTCCTTGTCAACCATCCACATAGATATGGTCTAAATTGTGAATGACCATTTCACTCGTCTGGCGCCTAGCTCATCAGTAGTGTATCCAGTTTTACTTAGCTCAACAACTACTCATTTCAACCAATAAGTAGTATATAGTTTTATGCAAAAAAATAACTGCAGTCATACAATATGAATGAATCCATCAACTTAGTAGCTAACTGGTAAAGGGGTAATATCAGTTATAGATAAAAGTTATAAAGCTAATACTCTCAATATATATTTGAACAGAGATAGAAACATTGATGACAAATAATATGGATATATTTTATTCCGTCGACTTGCCGTCAGCTACTTTTGAAAACACTAGCCAGTTTTAATGCGATGGATTCAGCAAACCGAAGACGTTTTCATGAGTTTGTTTGTAGGCGTTTGATTTGTTTCAATTTGGATCACGGATTGATATCAGTTAGAGAACTATTGGAAACCAACAGAGAGTACTGGACAGCTGTTTCGTTTTAGTTTGGGACTCGTCATCAGTACCTACCTACTGTGCTTCAAACCTTCCGATTACAAGGGAAGCTCGTAGACCATTGAATCGTTGGAGTCCGACTCAATGGCTAACAAATGAATTGTAACTTCTACCGATTCGTGATTTTAGCAAAACCGCTAGCCAATGTCATCGACGAGTATTTGTCCTCACTCCGAAGAGAGTGGACTCTACTGAACGCTTCTTACCAGGACCCCGGTCAACTTTGTTCTGCAGCCAGTCACTATCCTTACCTTGTAACCCGAGGGTTCTCAGCTCGAAACCCGGTGGGTGGGTACTGGTGAAGCGTCCAAAAAGAACTAGGACGAAATAGATGTCCAGTACTCCCTGTAAGTTTTGAATGGTCCTCTAACTGATATCAATCCGTAATCAGACTTGAAACAAACTGAAGAAGACCTGTGCTGTTTTGTTTGTTACTTATATTCTGAACGCTTCCAATGCATCTACTCGATGTTCTCCGTCTCTCAGGTGTTTAGAAACTGAGAAGTTCAAACTATTCAGTAGTTGGAATCGAAAGCTCTGCATGCAACCACCCGCGCAGTTATATGTAAATTGATATAAACAATTGAAGGTGGCATAACGAAGAGTGCTTCGTCGTTTGAATTCTGCCGTAGTGTATTGCATCACCATCTTTTAATTCGACTTCCTGCACACCAAATCCTGATTATCCAATCTTACGAATTCTTACCATCTCTGACTCATTGCCACTCTAACAATAAATTTGTTCACTGTTTACGAAAAACTCCACTCCCATAAAATGCATTTTTTTATTCCTTTACGTTTCCAGTGGAACATAGAGCGGCTTCAAGCTAGAGGCTTCAAGTTTCGGTAGCAGGGGTTTTCATTTTTTTACAGGATGGGGTTGCTGTTTGCCTCATGCCTAACCTTCCCTCTTTACTAGTCTTTTACTGGCTTAGCGAGGTAAAGGAGTGCTTCGTCGGTCGGGGATTGAACCCTGAACTATCTACATAGTCAGTGGGCATTCTACCGCTGTGCCACCGATGCACTAAAGTACATCTATATACTAATAATTTGAGATAACCTTATTATCTCTGTGTTCTGCTTCACCAGGGTTCTCTTACAACAAGCCTTACTTACTAGAGGACCAACTCATCATAATCACGAACGAAATGTATGCGAAAATTGTATTGTAATTAGTTTTATTAAATATTCTATAGGCTGTACGCAGCTGACATCAAGCTAACGAAACGAAATGGATCCATGTAATTCTATGCCAGTATTTCTTCCATCACTTGAAATTTTTAAAGGGCACGTTGTGTTTGAAATATTTATTAGATAAAAGCCAATGTATATTTTGGTATTTTGACAGCGGCAAGCTTGTCAGTCACCTAGGAGGTTCAAGCCCATTCCCCGAATGACTCAGTCTTAAATCTCTCTTAGTTTACTAACCAATAACCTGGAGTTCTAGTGAGAAGCCTTGATCAGTAGAGTAGAGCAGGTCGAAGGTGAGGACAGTAACTCATCGAAGAAGACAGTGCGAAGTGGTCGCACTATGTCGGAAATTGGTAGAAGTTAGAATTCATCCACTGGTCATTTGGAGTGGGTCCCAGTATCTTAGTGGTCTACGAATTCGCCTTGTAACAGGAAGGTCCTGGGTTTGAACCCTGGTGGTGGGTGCGTACTGACGAGGAGTCCCATACTATCGGGGTGAAACAGTTGTCCAATACTTCAGAACTGGTTTTCTAATTGTTCTCTAACCGGTGTCAGGTCATGATGAAACCCCCCAACTAACCAATAATAGTCTGAGAAAAGACAGTAAGTTGTGTGAAGACAATAACCTCACCCGCCACTGAAAATTTGGACCTTGAAGTGATATTTTCCACTAGGAAAACTAAAAATTGAACCTGTCATAAGCATTTATGAATTATTAGCAAACATATCCTGCCTTCAACACTCTGTCAGCGCTTACAGAAGAGAATCATATTTAGTGTTTTCCGTTCAAATAGCGATCATGATGATATGAATTTGCATGTTTACGCAAACAGTGAAGTTTTCAAGGAAGTGTCTCGAAATTCTTTGAGACATTAATCTTATTCTTAAACCTATTCTTCCTTGATATGAAGTTTATTCTACAGTCAAAGTTGGATGGCACACATTTTTCCAGGGACTAACACATCAGATGCTTTTTTCCCTGCATTTCATACCTTCCAAATTGAACATAGGACCTAAAGCTTTTCGCAGTTTAATCAGAACGGGGGATTCAAATTCATAATTTGCGAATCAATTCCGTATTTGATATTAGATGATTGAAGGCAGTCAGCCACAGGAAGCCTTGACTGACCTAGGTTTCGTGTTAGTTGTCACTCACCCACCAGTCAGCAAGGCAGGCGTATCTGTGACCTTAAAAGAGCTCATGTCCCTTCTGAGATTCGAAACCGTAGGTCGTCTAGTGTTTCACTCAGAGAGGTTACCATTGAGGTATTCGGGCTGGCGATTGAGCTCCTGTAGGATTGATTGTTTGGATACTTTTGATTGGACACTTGTTAATAACTAGTGATCTGCTTAACAATAAATGGTAATCAAGAACATCAAGGATATCTGCATAAAAATATATACTACTGACTTCTTGAAATAAGTAGTTGCACACCACTCACCTATATTACCAGTAGTGCTTATCAACAAGTCAGATTATCGAAGTAATGTAAACACCGGATGGCTGTTTCGCTGGTTTGGAGTAGAGCTTATCAGCGGTGAACCAAGTGTGATCTAAGTAGCTTAAGCAGCGAGGCAGAAACAGGCGATTTCAACTGATGTAGCTCTCCGTGTTGAGCCCGGCCAAGAACTAGCGAAACGACAATCTGCTGTTTAGATCCCTTCGACCTGGATGGTTGGCAAGTACTACTGTTTGATGTGAGTGGAATGCAAAAACTGGTGATGTTTTCACTAGCTGGGGTTGTTAACCTCCCGCTTCCTACCTTCCCTCTTACTGTTAGCGAGTAAGTTAGACGAAGTTCACCGGTGGATTGCCCAGATTTCGAACTTGAACCACGCGGGTTGCTGGTAAGCAGCATTCCACTGCTAAACCAACGAGTCCAGTGGCAAGGTATGTCATGAGTTCAGATCTTGAGTAGGGAAATCGTTTCCTCCAAGTCTACAGACAACCCTCGTGAAGACTTTCTGCTGATCGCCTCTAATTATGTAAACAGGGATGAAGGATGGTCATCCTAATTTCTCTGTTAAGCTAATAGCAAGTATAACCAGCATGATATCTTCTTTTATCAAATCACTGTGACCTGTTTTCTTTTCTTTGTATCCTTTCATTTAGATTTTTGAAGATCGTTTTACACCAGATCTTTTAGCTGATATTTTACAAATTTCACCTGTAAAATCACTTGTACGACGACATTTAACACATAAATTTATCGAACTTGTCGGTCCAGAAATATGGAAACGTAAACAAGAAAATGAAGTCAATAATTCGCTGACATTAAATTCAAAAATCAAGGTAAATTGAATCTCTATCATTAACATTATTATTATTACAAGTTTTTATTCCTTTATGTTCCAAGTCAAACATAGGGCTTCAAGCTAAGACTCTGAAGTTTCTCTAACTTTGGTATTTAGATTTTATGGGTTGGGATTTCTGGCTTCACGTCCAACCTCCTCTCTTTGCCGGGCTTACTTCTAGCTAGGTGAGATTTAGGAGTACAGGACAGCTGTTTCGTCCTAGTTCGGGACTCTTCATCAGTGCGCACCCATTGGGATTCGAACCCAGGACCTTCTGGTTACAAGGCCAGCTAGCTCGTAGACCATTGAGCCACTGGGACCTGATCCAATGGCCAGTCCATTGACTCTAACATCTGCGAATCCACGACATAGCGCGAACATTTCTCAATGTCTTCTTCGATGAATTACTGCCTCATCTTCAACCTGCTGTACCCTACTGGTCACGGCTTCCCATTAGAACCCCAGGTCACTGCCTACCTGAATAGGGCCAGTCGCTAGTGAGCATCAGATTAATTTTCAAGTATTGGATTTGTAGGGATTTAGTTTGACTGCATGGAGGATTTCATTATGAACTGACATCAGTTAGAGAACCACTGAAAAACCTGGGGGTACTGGATAGCTGTTTTATCCTAGTTTGGGACCTTCTGAAGCTCCTGGGTTCGAACCCCCTGTTTCACCAGTCGACTGACAATAGGTGCTAAGGTAGTAGACTTTCTGTTATTCTCTCCACGAATCCTTTCTGCAGGGGTTGTCATATAAACCAATCACCCAAACATTGTTGGCTCGCTCACGACCACGGTTGTATTTTGTCTTCAATAAGACAGTTTCGTCCACGTGTAGGATGACACCTTCGACTTTTAATGATGGAGTAATTCTCTCCATGACGCAATAACCCAGCAATGCTGGTACCACCGAACTGTTGACATGAGGCTATATTCAGTTTCAGCGGCTGCACCTCTCACAGGCTGTTTCAAAACCCAGTAATTACAAAAATACAAAATCTGGGTTAGGGTGAGATGCAACCAAGCAAAAAATGTTCCTACGAAATATTAAAATCATCAGCTTACCTTCCCTAATACTAATTCTTCTCAGGCTAATTGCACACCGATGGACATTTCCATCAGTTGACGTATCTAGACTTTTGGTTGAATTAAAGGTAGAGCTATTAATTCTAATCTTTGTATGTCGGCTTCATCTATTAATCCTGATGTGGGTGATCTCGTTGGTGTTCCTTTTATCTGATCGTATATTAGACTGCTGAATTGGAAGTGTGTTGCAAGATATAATTCTATGAGTTCTATCCAAGTTGAACATTGCCTTTTTTAATGTTTTCATCACTATAAAGTAATTGTTGCATAGTTTCTGTTGCTAGTTTTAGACTAATTGAAGTATATAATGCTGTGACATCATCAAAGGATACCACTATTTCATTGTCATCCACTTGGATGTTTTTGAATTTCTCTAAAAATTGGATCGGCGAATTGATAGAATGGTCGCATGTTTCTGTTAGGTCAAGAAAAAATTATCAACAGAGATGTAAATCGACTACCAGTCATGAAGGTGGTTAGCAGGAGACACAATTCTATCATTCATTGAGAATAGAAATCAGATCACTATCTGCTAGAACTTGCGCTGAAGAGGGATGTTGTCTAGAAGCGAGGACGGCAAAAGCTCCGCAATTAAGCCATCAACCAACCAGCTGAGAGAACACAACTAATTGCAAATCATCCACCTTAGCCACAAATATTCTCTATTATTTGAAGATATTATCATCATGTAACTGTAGCCTATTAGGTGGTTGGAGGCATTCGGCCACAGGAAGCCTTGGAACTAGGTTCCGTGCTAGTTGGCACTCATCAGCAAGGCGCGTCTGCAATCTTGAAGGAACTCATGTCGCTTCTGAGACTCGAACCCGCGTCACCCAGTGCTGCAGTCAGAGACGTTACCACTGAGCTATTCAGGCTCGCGACTGACCTCCTGTAGGACTGTATTGGATATTTTTGATTGCACACTAGTCAGTAACTAGTGTAATGTGTCTAGTCTTTTGTTTAGTGCAGACTGAATTATATCAGTCAAGCTTGCAATGTGACCACCGTGCTAGGTGGCTCGCCATTACGGTGCACTGTGAATTGTTGGTATTGGATGGTTGGAGGCAATCGACCACAGGAAGCCTTGGACCTAGTTTTCGTGCCTTGCTGATGAGTGCCCACTAGCACGAAACTTAGATCCAAGGCTTCCTGCCGACTGCTTTCAACCATCTAATACCAACAATTCACAGTGCATCGTAATGGCGAGCCACCTAGTGACATGGTGGCCACATTGCAAGCTTGACTGATAGAATTCAGTCCACAGTGAAGATAGGACTAGACACATGGCACTAGTTACTGACTAGTGTGCAATCAAAAAAAACTGTAGCCTATTCTCACTATTGTGCTATTTTTTATTGATTGTACTTTTATATTAGCCAAGTAAAAAGAAGAGTTTGTTTCATTCCACTCGTGGACATAAAGGAAACGATGATGTTGAAGAACTTGTCTGCCCTATAGAAATTGATCCTAATCATATGAGCATATTTGTAAGTGAATTATGTTTATTATTTTGTCAATATTCAGTAATGCTTTTTTCTTATAATGGAATGCATAAGTTAGAAGTGAAAGAGGAGTTTGTAATACATCGATTGTGTGGCAGAATGCATACAGCGAAGAAAATGCTTCTTTATTGACGGAATCATCCTCACAGACTGTACAGTCGTATTTATATTTACCAAAAAATGTGAAGCAGTCTATTATTGAGAAATAGGAGTGATATAATTGACATAATTATTTAGAAGTGCCTCAAAAATTAAAAAAATTTATAAATTACGTAATACTTAACGCCACAAAGGAAGAAAGGGTTAGAAATTTGATAAGGTTAACATTGTTATGGAGTGGTGAGAGGAAAGGTAATTAAGTGTCTCTCTAATAAGTGTCAAGATGGTGAGAAGTGTGTCGGTGGTACAGCAGTTGAATGCTCGCCAACCACTCATGTGGTCCGGGATTCGATCCCCGGACGACATAGCGCTCCTTTACCTCGCTAAGTCAGTAATAAAGCTGGTAAAGAGGAAAGGCTGGGTATGAGGTTAGTAAATCTATCCTGTAAAAATAAACACCACTGCTACTGAAACTTCAAGCCTCTAGCTTGAAGCCCTACGTTTCACTGGGAACGTGAAGGAATGAAAAAAGAAAAGAAAGGGTGGGAAAGATACAAAAGGAACATGTTAGAGTGATAATAGTAAAATTAATTAATAAAGTAGAAGCAAAATAATCATTACAAATAAAACATTTACACGGAACAACTAATGAAGAGGTTAAGGCCATAGTAGAATAAGAGACTGGACAAACCTTTTCTTTATACAGAGTTCGGGGTTGTATTGATGAAATTCCAACGCCTCCCTGTCTCACCTTGTAGATAATCTTGAAAAACGACTTTGGTGAAGTTACGTGGCTTGAGTTCACCAAGTGCCTGAGAATTGAGCTAGTAACTGTCTTGCGTTTTTCTTTTGCTAACCATACCTGATAAAGGTCAGAGATGCGTTTGGAAAGTGTGTGGTCGGTTTGTGAGACCAATATAACTAGCTCCACAGGAGCAGGTGAATTTATAAACACACATCAAAGTGGCCCGTCCAAAGCGGCAGTTTATCCTTCAAGCATTCGTTGATCATTTGTCGGCTGTAGAAATTGATCCATAGCTTAGCCATAAAGAAGGCTTTTCTCAGTGATAGGTATAAACGGTTCTCCAAGATTTCAGCAGAGGTATCACCTTTAAATTCAGGGTTCATGAATAGCAGTTTCTTCGACACGGTCTGGGTTCTTTCGAGCTTTTACTCTACCTTCATATTTTCCTCCATGAATCCTGGTAAATATAAATATGACTGCACAGCCAGCCTCTGAAGATCATTTCGTCGATTAAGAAGCATTTTTCTCTCTGAATCGTCTTTGATTTGCTTCACAAACGTACAAAAGAATGAAATTTCTTACATTTACTCCCCATAATGAATTTGAATAAAGCAAGAACAACAGTGGTGTTTGCAGAATAAGATAGCAACATCACATCTTTCATTTTGTTGCCTTCTCGTCATCTGCTTACAGGGCAAAGACATTATTAAATAAATCTACAGAAACAATTGTAACATACTTGCACGGACAGTTCATTTTTAAACAAAAATCAATCAGTCAGTATATACATACAGTAATATATATGTATATATGCATAATATTAAGCACTATTCCGAATAATAATGATCATACACAATGGAAACTTTCGCCATTACGTAATCAGATGAAAGAGAGGTGAAAATATCCAGTTACCAGGTGGGCATGGAAAGACCGATAACCGCTTCTTTCTGAACGCATAAGTCAGGTTTCAAGCACTTCATAGAGATGGCTTCAGCATACTTGAGAAGAATTGAGCTCTTTTGCCTATTGATAATTTTGAACGATCTTGCGACGTCCACCTCATGACCACCAGTGTCAAGAAGCTTCCTGACTATGGCATTGTTTAAAGCATTTGTTCCCTTAAGAAATAAGCTTTTTGGTAGATGTTCAGAAAATCGTAGATATGCCCTTCTTTCTGTTCTTCCAATGTACCAAAAAGCTTATGTCTAAAGGGAACAAATGCTTTAAACAGTGCCATCGCCAGTCATCTCCTTGACACGGGTGGTCATGAGGTGGACGTCGAAAAGTCGTTCAAAATTATCAATAAGCAAAAGAGCTCAATTCTTCGCAAGTTTGCTGAAGCGATCTCTATCAAGCGCCAGAAACCTGATTTATGCGTTCAGAAAGAAACGGTTATCAGTCTTTCTTTGCCCATCCTGGTAACTGGATATTTTCACCCTCTCTTTCGCCTGAATACGTAATGGCGAAAGTTTCCACTGTGTATGATCACTATTGTTTGGAATAGTGTTTAATATTATTATATATATATATTATTACTGTATGCATATATTGATTGATTTTTGTTTAAAAATGAACTCTCTCTGTGCAAGTCTCTTAAAATTGTTTCTGTAGATATACTTAATAATGACGGTGGCCTGTAAGCGGCTGATGAGAAGGCAACGAAATAAATGATGGTACCATTTCATTCTGCAAAAACCGCTCTTGTTCTTGCTTTATCGGTTTTCATCCATAAACATTCCAGTTTATTAGACAGTGAACACGAATCATCCACATAATCAAGATTTTCGATGGTCTTTTTGTTGGTCCAACCTATGACAATTTCCTGGCTTACCACAGTCAGCCATATGATCCAGTTAACCACACATACGCAGATAATCAGTTATTAGTATTATTATTGTTCCCTTGTGTTCCGAATGGAACATAGGGCTTCAACAACACATCTCCACTTTATTCTGTTTTCTGCCGTCCTCTTCAGCTGGGCCGACGATTGACCAAACTCTCTCATCTCTTCCTCACACGATCTCCTCCATGTCAACCTCGCATCGATGACCCATCTGTCGCTTCCCAACGGGCCTCCACTCGAGCGATGGCCTGGCGTCCGATGCCTTTTAGCGGCCTCCTCAATGTATGCCCGATCCATCTCCACTTTCTCTTACATATTTGTTGAGCGATTGGCTCTCGCTTGTTGGTTTGTTCCCAGCCAGAGTTTCTTGTTCCTCATTCCTTCTGGCCATTTGATCATCAGTATGGAGCCAGCGAAGGCAGCTGTTGATGAAAGTCTGCAACAGGCTGTTGGAAATCCTTTTCGTCAAACTCAGTTTCTGACCCGTATGGAAGAACCGACTTCACATTTCTGTTGGAAATGCAGAAGATTTCCAAACTGGTTTCACTTTGGAAGTAAATTACTGACTCTTCCGATGACAGTGTTGTCAATCCACATCTATTCCATCTGCTTTCGCAGATACCCAGTACTTCTAAGCCATGTCTTCGCATCTCTTTGACTAGCTGGGCAGCCTTCCCAGGCAGTCTCGTACACTGTACAAACATTCCACGTAACCAATCTTACTCTTGCTTTCATCGACAGAAAACATATCGGCTGACTGACTGGCTTGCTGAAGGCTAGCTTTCACCAACCCGCTGTGTCATTTCGCCTCTCTGATTCTAGCGAAGAATAAGATTTTTATTTGAAGTTTTTGTATTTTTAATATATTTCCTGAGTGTGTGTGATGAAGTTTCTCTAGCGGTTTGAAAGACTTAGTGGTGTTGGGGTGCTAGCCTCACGCCCAACCCTCCCTCTTTAACCGGGCTTGGGATCGGCTAGAAAACCAGCTGTCTAGTTAACTAGGCTAGGTTCCCTTCACTGTTACAGAACACTTTATCATAGTTTTTTTTAAAATGTATTCTAAGAAATTGAATATTTGTGATAATAGGAAATTTTAATTCTTTGTATCTTTCTTTATTATAACCAGGCTGATGAAGTCGAACTCAACTGTCAGATCGATTGTAATCAACAACTGGATCAACAGTCTGCAACAACTATAAATCCCATTTCAACAAATGGTCAAGTAAGTGAATGCTGCTTTGTACTAGTGTTAAACATTCGTGAAAGAAATGAAAGGTCACCTAACCAGAAGGAATGTGTGAGTGTTTGTGTATAAGTAGGTGGTAGACGGTAGGCGGTAGTACAAACTCCTCTAAGAGAAACACTTTATCTAACATTGTCTGTACTTTGATAGTTCAATGGGATGTGATGCCCGACAACCATGCTCGCAAGCAGTCTTACTTCGATTCCCTGCCGATGAACTCCTAAACGTAGCTTAGTTTCAGTATGGCATTTAGAAGACAAATCCAGCCAGATGATATCGTAGCTTTCGTAGTTTCTTTACAACCACTTTACAACTAACATGGTTAACAATAATAAAATACAATAAAATGCATGACAAATACACGGTTATATAAAACAAAAGAACATACTAATGACCAATCATATTTAAATAGATCAAGTAGTCAGTTCATGGTAGGCGAAGGTTGAAGTCTATTATTGTTTGTATACATTGTTTAGGATGTATGTGATTAATCCTCCAAAGTGCTTCCATCACCTTCAATAACCAGCCTTGAATTAGAATTATGTGAAATAATTGTGAAACAGTCATTAATAATATTGATTTTGTGACCTGACATTAATAAGTGCTTTACAATGGATGGTGATGCTGGATTTCTATTCAGGTTGATAATTGTATTGGGATTATGTTTTAATAACCACTTTGGAACATGTTCCTTACGACGACCAAACTGGAACATTCTATTGGTTCTACACCTAAATAGGTGTCACCGCAACTGCAGGTGAACTTGTAGATACAGTTTGGTGAACAGCCACAGAATTCCGTCCTTTAATCGTTGGTAGAGGGATGGAAAATATTCGAGATGTGAGAGAAAGACATGCTTCGTAGAATGTGCGTTTGATGGCTGACCGAAGTCTTTGAGCTGTCAATTGTATAATCTAGTCACCCTCGAATAGTAGGTAGGTTAATAAAAATAGCTTTCTTTGGTACAGAAGCTGTCTTTTCTAGATGTGGTCTATTTTTACTGTGCTTGTTTGTCAAAAGTAAGCCAAGAGAAGAAGGAAGATTCAGTGCGTGGATACAAATCCCATGCCTTCTGCATAAACAGAACCTCTCAAGCCTCTGAAGTCAAAGGAATGAAAATAAATCAAACGTTGTGTAACTTTCTTTTGGTTAGTGACAAAAAATTCTATGGAGGAAATATATTTTTGTAGTTACATGTTGTCATATGGCAAAACAAATTATCAAAGGAATGGTTACGTAACAAAGAATACTCTTTCCGATAACCTGCTCTTCATCAGGTTCTACGGTTATATACATTCAAAGTAGTGAATGAATTAGTGTTATTATCAACATTAATGCAGTTTAAATAACATCGAATCAGTAATAGTAATCTCAACGGATTACGGTTCGATAGCATCAACATAACAATACACTGAATATCAGACACGCAAATTAGGAAAGGTAATAATACAAATTCATGAATTTATAGTCTCCACTGAAGGCTGGCCAGGGCAGTAGGAGTGGCTAAACTTGCTTCTTTTGCACACAAAGCACTGGTTGTTTCACTCTAATTGCGATAGGCTCTGATGATTGGAGCATGCGCAACCTCGATGTTTTTGGCAATTTATTTGGAACCCGTTAGATGATCGAGAAGGATTCTTCATTGCCAGATACCAAATGAAATGCTAAAAACATCGAGGTTGCCCATGCTCCAAACAGCAGAGGCTATCGAGATTCGCATATAAATGTATAAATGTATATAAATGCATATAAATGTAGAACCTGATAAAGAGTAGGTTATCGAAAAGAATATTCTTTGTTCAGTAACCATTCTTTTGATAAATTTAATGGGCATTTTTAATCATTTAAGGCAACTAATGTTATATATAGAACAATTCGTGGAATGTATACAAGTTGGAAGGGGCGTACAATTATACGATTAGTAAGCAAATAGAATAAAAATAAAAATGTTGTGTAACACTGTGTGATTGAGAATGATAAGTGGAACGAGTGAAGTACCACTGGGACAGTTCAAAGTGAGAATAGTGATAGCAGTAACAGTTGACGTAATAAAGGAAGAGTATACAAATAGAATAGGCAAAAGGAAACATAGAGCTAAAATGTGAATGGGGATTATCATACTTTAGCATAGAGGAATCAAGACCATGAAAGTTGGAAGAGTTGAACGAACTTCTTCTGTATACAAATATCTGGCTTTTCTATTTCGATAGCCAGAGCTTAGCAATACAAAAGATGAGTTGGACGCGTAGTGATTTTGGGCAAATTACTTGTCGCCTTGTAGATGATTTGAAAGGGTGAGGCTGCTGTGGAGATAGAGCGATTACTATCGACCAGATATTCAGTGATCGCGCTTCTTATTACTCCATTTACACCTATTTGTAACCATTCAGGATAGTGTTCTTGAACCCTCTTGTACAAAACTTGAGCCGAGCGACTGGTATGCCCAGTTTTACACGAGCAGGCGAACTGATGAACACAAATAGAGTTGGTAAGCTGCGGGATCCTGTCCTTCACGTTATTGAACAGTGATGGTAGAACTGGTAAAGGCTGCTCTCAAAGATGCAGCAGGGAATATTCTTTTCAGGGATTGTGATATCCTTATTTTAATTATATAGTCAACTGAGTCGCTTTTGAATTTCAAGTTCATGTATAGCATTTCCTCGGTTATGGACGTTAAGTCACTGATCACCCTATGTTTACAGCATCCACCTTTCGAGGAATCTACAAGACGAAAAGTAATTAACCCAAATCACTACACATCTGACTCATCTGTTGTATTCTTGAAGCTCTGACCATCGAAACAGAAAAGTCAGTTGTCTGTATACAGAGAAACTCTGTTCAACCCCTCTAACTCTCATGATCTTAATCCTTCCTCTATGCCAAAATATGGTAATCCCGAATCATATTTTGGCTCTACCAGTTTTTCATTTTGTCTATTCAATTTGAATACTCTTCCCTTATTGCTTCAATTATTACTATTATTATTATTCTCACTTTGAAGTGTCCTCGGTATTATTTCACTTGTTCCACTTGTCATTCTAAATCAATTATGTTTTGCAACGTTAAACTCTATATTATTAAATTTCACACAATGTTACGTAACATTTTTATTTTTATTCTATTTGCCTACTAATCGCATTGAAATTTACACCCCTTCCAACTTGTATATATTTACGTAACGAGTCAAAAATGGAACAAGTATTCATTCGGTGAGGAAAATTTTTCGAACTGATACGTGACTCAACAGCTGTACGATAGCATTTATATACACAAAAGTCTACATAGATACGGTTATCATTTAATTCCCTAACGGCCAGTTTAGAAAACGGAATCTTAAAACCAACAGTCGACAGACTACTGCTGTACAAAACGTATATCGACGACACTTTTATATTCTTTTATAATAATACTGATTTAAATTATACCTTACAAGAATCTAATAATTGACATCAGTCAATTAAATTTACAACAGAGTTAGAAAACGAATCAAATATTCCATTTCTGGACACAGAATTTACAGGAGGAGTTGATAGGACTCTGAAAAGATCTATTCACAAGAAAAACATTATAGAATGGTCAACTGACAGACTTCTATAGATGGGCATCTGTGAGTCGGAGAAGAGCTCTCATCGTTTCACTGGCCCTCCGTATCATAAACATTTGCATTACTGACTGATTAGAAGAAGTAGAGCTCTTATTTCTCAAAATTATTCTGGCTCAAAATGGATACCCGGTACGTGTCGTGAATAAGAACTTGAAACCAAAGGCAAAAGGAGGAGAATGCAGTTCAGTGTGAAGGAAAATACTGTGTATGAATCTGGACTTCAGGAGAGACCTAATTGCAGATATACTAAAGAGGAGAATCTCTGCTTTCCTAAATAAGACTTTTCCTGCATCAACGTTAAGTGTGACATTATCTAGCCTCCAACTGCTTCTAAGCAATGTGAGAGACAAACTCCCACTTACGATCATTCCAACGTGCATATATTCATACACTGGCTTCATCCTCATTTGGGAGTCATTGGCAGTGTGCAGCCACCTCCCGAGTTCGAACCCACGAACTTCCGGTTACAAGGAAAGTTCGTATACCATTCATCCACTGGGACCCTACTTTTCAATGGCCAGCCCATGAATTCTAACTTCTACCAATTAGCGGTGTATTTATTGCAACCACCAATCAATGTCATCGGTGGGAAATCCATCCTCACACACTTGACTGGATGGACATCACTGGTTACAACTTCTCACTAGAACACCAAGAAACTCCGTCCTGTAACCAGTAGTCACTAGTGAGCATCAGATTAATTTTCAAGAGTTGATTTGAAATGATTTGATTTGTTATTTGAGTTTGACCACAGATTGATATCAGTTAGAGAAACAGTGAAAACCAGAGGGTACTGGGGGATTATTATCGCTTTTAATCTCCTTCGTAAATAATAATAATAATAATCCAGTAAATACTGTTTCACTGTGTGATACATTTAATTAACAAACTAATACGGAATCTCCTTCGTTATTATGTAGAATCAAATGGTAATAACAACTATGTGAACTTATATACATAAATGATATTGTAAATCTGCTTGTGACGATGAAATCATTGAAAAGATAGTCATCTTTGAGGAGCTTCTTGTTCCTTTTTATCAGATAGCCAGATGGGTATTTTTCACAATTTGAGCTAAGACTACTGAAAAGTTAGTAAGGAGCAAAGTTTGCAAAACTAAACTTTTACCCTAGTGAAAAGTTCATGTATTTAATTCTCTTGGGTCCGGAGTGGGACATAAGGTTTCCATAAAGCATCTCCATTTTATCCTGTTATTTACAACCCTCCTCGGTTTGCCTCACGATTATTCACATGCTCTCATCTCCTCCTCACACGATATTCACCATGTCACCCGTGGATATTCGTTCAACTCTTTTCTCATACCGGTTCCACTCGAGGTTCTACCTGACTTGTAGCAGTGCTCAGCTGTCTTCTTAGAGTGTCTTAGATTCACCTCGTCGGTGTGTCCCCAGAGTTCCCAGTTGCTTATCCTGATCTCATTAAGTGTAGGTTATCATGATTGACGGACATAAGTAAAAACATCTAACCCCGATTTATGTGGCATGTTAATAGTGTCTCAGGGATGAATTAGCCTTAGAAAATGTAAACTTTTCAATTTATCGCATTTCTAAATCACATTTATCATTACTTTTGTTTGTTTTTTCTATCCTGATAGCCATTAGAACTACAAGAAACTGACATATAATACATCAGGTATGTGATCATCTTTACTCGCTGTCTATATTTTATCATTTTTATTTATTTATTTGTTCCTTTCATTAGGGGGGGGGGAACATAGGGCCTCAACAGAGCGTGTTTTCACTTCCTTCGGTTCACTGTTATCCTCTTCAGCTGGATCCTCAATTGTCAACTAGCTTTCATTCCTTCTTCATATGCTCCCTTTCATTTCACCCTCCAACGTATAAATCGTCACTTCCTTATTGAGCTTCCACTCAAGGGACTATGTGTTAGATATAATTTCACTTAACAATCTTCTCTGTATGTGTCCAATCCATAAATACTTCTTTCTTCAGAATCTGGCATCGGTTCATGATTGTTTTGACTATGTTGGGTTCATTGATATAAGCATAAACCTTGGGCACTGTGATAGTAGAGTACAATTCCATTATGGATAAAATTTTATTTCGATAAAATCACCCATAGTGTGTTTGTTATTACAGTAATATTTACTACTGATAAGCACGTTTTGAGCACAACTTATCACTGCTACTCATAATCACATCAAGGCACTTCTCACACAACTTTCTTGTTTGGTTTATGTACATGAGTAAAAATTAATGATTAGACATTTGAATAAAATCAATGTGAGATAATGTACATTAAGAAATAATAAAATGCGTGTCACTGATCAAATACAGTCAGAGGGGAAATAAGACGAGTGTTTTTATAGTAAAATAAATAAGTAGCTTGTTAGAATGTTATGATGTACGTGAATTGAAGTAGAATTTTAAGATTATTTATTATCCTTCTCTGATTTGACTGGTGAAAATAATATCTTCCACACCTCTGGTATTTGCATTGAGTCATTTCTGTTGAATGTGTTGAGTGCAGACTCGATGAACCAGGATTCCGTAATCAATCCTTCCTCTGTCCAGCTGCCCATATTACTTTTTAGAATTTTGACTCTGTCCCACCCTATTGTGTGGTTGTGTGTTAATGCATGTAGTGTGATTCCTCCATAATGGTTAAGGCAGGCTTAGTGAAGTGTCTGACAAACCGAGCCATAGCACTAAGTAGCACAAAAAAGGACCTGAATGATGAAATAAAACAGATAGAAGAAGCGTTGGTGTTAAATAACTATCCCCTAAAATTCATTAAGAAGATCAGTAAAGGACAAAAACAAAATAAAAATAATTGTGTAACTAGTAGTATTAACATAAATAAGAGAGAATATAAAGCATCTACTGTTATACCATATAAGGAGGGGACATCTGAGGCCCTACGTAGGATTCTCAATAAAGCAGGAATTAGGGGGGCATTCAAACCCACAAACTCACTCAGAGACAAACTTTGTAGGTTGAAGGACCCGTTGGACCCAATTAAACAAAATAATATAATTTACAAGATACCCTGCAATGACTGTGAAGTCAACTACATAGGTCAAACTAGTAGATCAGGGATAGTCAGAGTATCAGAACATAAGAATTTAGCTAAGGGAAAACTGATTGACCCTGAAAAGATAAGTAATTTAGAAAAAAGCTCAGCTATTGCACTTCACGCATTAACAAACAACCACACAATAGGGTGGGATAGGGTTAAAATTCTAAAAAGTAATCTAGGTAGTTGGAGAGAGGAGGAGGTTGATCACGGAATCCTTGTTCATTGAGTCTACACTTAACACATGCAACAGAAATGACTCTACGCAAATACCAGAGATATCGAAGATATTATTACGACCAGTCAGTCAAATCAGAAGAGGATGATAAATAATCTTAAAATTCTATTTCAATTCAAACACATCAAAACATTCTAACAATCAACTTATTATGACTATAAAAACACTCGTTTTATTTCCCATCTAATTGTAATGGATTAATAACACTCGTACTATTATTTCTGAATGTACATTATCTCATATTGAATTTTATTCCAATATCTAATCGATTCCACACATGTATATAAATGAAGGAAAAAGTTGTGTGAGTAACTTGATATGATTATGAGCAATAATTTGTGCTCGAAACGTCATCAGTTAATATAACTGTACAACACTGTGTGATTTATCAAAATAAAATCTTAACCATTATGGAGTTATACTCTACCACAGTGCCCAAGTTTTATACTTATATCAATAGTGTGATTCCTGAGCTTCGCGCAGTCAATCATTCTAACATTAGCTAAATTCTTATGTTCCGATAATCTCACTACTCCTGATCTATTATTTTGACCTACGGAGTTGAGCCCAGTCACAGTCATTGCAAGATATTTTATAAATCATATTATTTTGTTTAATTGTGTACACCGGGTCCTCTAGCCTACAGAGCTTGTCCTACCTGAATGAGTTTGTAGGTTTGAATGCCACCCTAATTCCTGCTTTATTAAAAATCCTCCTTACATGGTAAAACATCTTTTTTTCCATCTGATTGTATTTCATGGATAACACTAATATTATTATTTCTGAATGTCCTTTACCCCATATTGATTTTATTCAAATGTCTGTCTAATCATCAATTTAACTCATGTATATAAATGAAGCAAGAAAGTTGTGTGTATGTGAGTGACTTGATATGATTATGAGTGGCAATAGGATAGCAGTAATAAATTGTGCTTGAAATGTGGTCATCAGCAGTAAATATAACTGTATAACAAACACACTGTGTGTGTAATTTTATCAAAATACAAAATTTATCCATAATGGAGTTATATTGGATTCAGCGATATTTGGTGGAGGTGTAAACTGCTTCGCTGAAGTTGGCTAATGATCAATAGCTGAAGGTCGTTAGTGTTATTATGGTACAGAACTGTTCCCAATAGTTCAGATTTATTTATGCTTTTTGGTCTCTGAGATCAATTTACTTCTTCTGCTTTTCCATGTAATAATTCCTTCTCCCATACATTTTCGCTTACACTGCAGTTCTACTGAATACGTTTCTTCTCTCTATATTTATGTGCTGCATGGAGAGTGACAAGTTGAACTGGGATTACTGGACAGCTGTTTCGTCAGCCTAGTTTGTAACTCTTCATCAAAACCTTCAGAAGTTCCTGGTGGGTGCGTACTGTGAAGAGTCCCAAACTAGGGACGAAACAGCTGTCCAGTACTCCCACAATGGTTTTCCAGTGGTCCTCTAACTGATGTCAGCTCATGATGAAATCCTCCATGCAATCAAACAAAATCCCTACAAAACCAATAATTGGAAATCGAATTAATTTAGATGATCCAATTTTCAAAATATTTTGGTTGTAAACGAAACATTGACTGGGCCAGGAGCAATAACACTCTACCATCTTTCCATCTCTCCAGTTGAAATGTTAGTTTGCGGGAGATTTCACTGATTTCATGTTATATCATGAAATGACATCAGTCAACGCTGACTATCGAAGGTCTTTTCAAAGTCGATGAAACTGAGTTAGAGGTTTGACTGCCATTCTATGCAAGAGTTAGCAAACTATAAAAGTACTTCGGTCCAATCAATCGACGGGAAAATCTAAAATTCAATTAAATAATTAATATGACCCGTTGCACAAGAGGTGGCCAGCTCTCGTGGCCCAAGTGGTCTAGTGGATAACGACGCTTTGGCGTTTGAAACTATGGGCACTGGGTTCGAGTCTCGGTGGGAACATCATCACTCACTGGGGAATGCAGGCACATCCAGATGACGAGTCCCAAATAGGACGAAATGTTGGTTGTCCTGCATTCCACTGCTAGTCACCATCCACCAATTAAATATAAAAGTGGAGATTGACAGATACCTATCTGACTCATTATAAATTATTTAAATTAATCCCAGCGTGTTTAAGAAAAAATCAAAACAAGATCTGTTTTCTGAACGTTTCACTGTGTAAGCCACAGCTTCTTCAGCAAAATTATTCGGATTTTATTAATCATAAAAATAAATAGTCAAAAATGTTTTACATAAATTGAAGTCAGTTCCTTTGAAGGTTATTTGTCGGAAGACATTTGTACCAATAGAAACATGTAAGCAGTCATCACGTATATTTGTAATGACTAATGTCAAATGGTCACTGTGAGTGTTTGTCTGTATGAGTGTGTGTGTGTGATTGTATGTTATTTGTCATATGGAAAAGACGTCAATTCACATGTGATAAACATGATAATACATTTTTTTAAAGGTCATGGAGGTTCGTAAAAAATTATATTTATAAAATCTCAGGGAGATTGAAATGAGTAATTCCAACGTTTCTTGTTCGGCAATCTGGTCCGAACTTCTTCAGGGAAATTAATCGAAATTAACATAACATAGGTTTATATATAAAAGGAACATCACTTGTTTTTAAAAACTTTGTCCAATCACCTGACAACTCCAGTAGGTCGAATAAAGCAGCTCAATCTTCAGAAAGAAGACAAAGCAATAAGTCCAACAGGGTGCTTCTACTAAACTCCAATCCTAAACACCATAATTTTGAAAATACGTCTAATCATAAAATTCTAGATACTAACAGTGTGAACAGACATGAAGGCGTGATGTTAGCTGATGCATAGGAAATCCTTATTAATAAATAAAAATGGATATGTATCACTAATTATTAATACTTGGTCAAAATTCTCGACTGTCCATATCTTCTTATGGAGACGTTAAGAAATGTTTTACAACTGTTTACACACACACACGCATGCACACTCTGTTTAAAGTGTTTAACAAAGGTAGACCAATATTTGTAAGTCCGAGGTCAAATTTTGATCACAGCTCATAAAATTTTGTTTATTATACTTGTCGAATGACTCATGATTGGACAAAGTTTTTAAAAACAAGTGATGTTCCTTTTATATATAAACCTCTGTTATTTTAATTTCGATTAATTTCCCTGAAGAAGTTCGGACCAGATTGTCGAACGAAACGTTGGAATTACTCATTTCAATGTCGCTGAGATTTTACAAATATAATTTTTACAAATGTCTACTTCTCACTCGGTGCCCAAATATTTTAGAACTATTCTGTCAAATCTTGACGACAGTTCATTTGAGTCATGGAGGTTCATTGAGGATTTTGTTGTTTTTTCATCTGT